CAGCAGAGACGGGGGGTATGCAATCCTGGCTGGGACTGGGGGGCCATGGTGCCAATGGGGATCCGGCTTTCCCCGCTCGGGGTGGCCTTTGGCTTGCTGGGTGTGCTCTATCACCTCTATGCAGGGCTTGCTTGCCAGTCGTTTTGCCTCCTTTGTGCTGGGCGGCCAGGTGTCCAGGTGGTGACAGCAGCCTAATGGATTTTTGCTACCAGACTGATTAACTTTATGCAGAAAGGAAGAATATGCATTCTGCATCAAGTAAACTTTTAAAAAGTTAAAGAGTCTGGCAGCGAAAATCCTCCCCCTTCCCCCTGTGCCTCGGGCTGGCCCCGCCAGCAGCTTGCTCAGGTCCATTGGGCTGCCATCACCGAGGAGAAGAGAGGTGAGGTTTTGTGCCAGCCAGCTGTCCAGGCAAGGAGTAAGTCAGGGGATGGTGGCTGGCTGGCTGGGGAGGGGGAATCATGGCTGCTTGGGGGGGACCTGGGAGGCAGGTGGTGCAGTGGCTTGGGTATCTCGGCTCCGTCTGAGTTGAAAGCAGAGGCACAGCAGCAGAATAGCTCTCAAACAATAAGAGGAGGGTGCGTTGCTTGCTCATGTGTGCCCGCCTTACTGAGAGCAATCCTCCTGCTGTGCCTCCATTTTCTTCAACTCGGATGGAGCTGAGGAGCTGCTGGTGGTCGCTTGAGTGGGGAGGTCGAGCTTTGCTGCTGCTACTGGGCCACACCCTGCTGCTGCCTCCCAAACGCCACCTTTGCTACTGGGTGTGAACAGCGGCAGGGTGCTCTGTCCTGGGGGGGAGAGAAGCAGCAGCGGCCTAACCCCTGCCCTGGCCCCTCCCTCACCTTGCTTCACCCTGCAGGACAAGCCTCCTGCCCACCACCCCACCCACCAGAGACCTCCTGGATCTCCCCCAACCCTGCCCAGCCCCCACAGGCATCCCTCCCGAGGAGCAATATTGAGGTGACCACACCCACCCTGGCCATACCCACTGTCTGCCGTGGCCACCGTAGCCATGCCCACCCGGGGGGGCCACACCCACCCGGCACCCAGCGATACATAAGTGGGTTTTGGGTTGCAGTTTGGGTACTCGGTCTCTAAAAGGTTCGCCCTCGCTGACCTATGCCCACAGATTATCATCATGGGGGATTGGAATGCTAAAGTAGGAAGCCAAAAGATAACCGGAATAACAGGCAAGTTTGGCCTTGGAGTACAAAATGAAGCAGGGCACAGGCTGATAGAATTTTGTCAAGAGAACACGATGGTCATAACAAACACTCTTTTCCAACAACCCAAGAGACGGCTCTACACATGGACATCACCAGACGGTCAATACAGAAATCAGATTGACCATGTGTTCTTCAGCCAAAGATGAAGAAGCTGTATACAGTCAGTAAAAACAAGACCAGGAGCTGACTGGGGCTCAGATCATGAGCTTCTTGTTGCAAAATATAGGCTTAAATTGAAAAAAGTAGGGAAAAGCACTAGGCCACCCAGATATGAACTAAATCATATCCCTGATGAATATACAATATGACAAATATATTTAAGGAATTAGATCTGATAGACAGAGTGCCTGAAAAACTATGGACGGAGGTTTGCAACATTGTACAAGAGGTAGCAACTAAAACCATCCCAAAGAAAAGGAAATGCAAGAAAGCATAATGGCTTTCTGAGGAAGCTTTGCAAATAGCTGAGGAAAGAAGGGAAGCAAAAGGCAAGGGAGAAAGATACACCCAACTGAATGCAGAATTCCAGATAATAGCTAGAAGAGATAAGAATGCCCTCTTAAATGAATAGTGCAAAGAAATAGAAGAAAACAATAGAATAAGGAGAACCAGAGATCTCTTCAAGAAAATTGGAGATATGAAGGGAACGTTTCATGCAAAGATGGGCATGATAAAGGACCAAAATGGCAGAGACCTAACAGAGGCAGAAGAGATTAAGAAGAGGTGGCAAAATTACACAGAAAAACTATACAAGAACGAGCTTAGCGTCCCTGATAACCACAATGGGATGGTCACTGACCTCGAGCCAGACATCCTAGAATGTGAAGTGAAATGAGCCTTAGGAAAGCTGAGCAACAACAAAGCTAGTGGAGGTAACAGTATTCCAGCTGAGCTATTCAAAATCTTGAAAGACGATGCAGTAAAAGTGCTACACTCAATTTGCCAGCAAATTTGGAAAACTCAACAGTGGCCACAGGATTGGAAAAGGTCAGTTTACATTCCAATTCCAAAGAAAGGCAATGCCAAAGAATGCTCAAACTATTGCACCATTGCACTCATTTCACATGCAAGTAAAGTTATGCTTAAAATCCTACAAGCTAGACTCTAGCAGTACATGGATAGAGAACTTCCAGAAGTACAGGCAGGATTTCGAAAAGGCAGAGGAACTAGAGATCAAACATATGGAGAAAGTTAGGGAGTTCCAGAAAAACATCTACTTCTGCTTCTTTGACTATGCTAAAGTCTTTGTGTGGATCACAACAAATTGTGGCAAGTTCTTAAAGAGATGGGAGTACCCGACCATCTTATTTGTCTCTTGAGAAACCTATATGCAGGTCAAGAAGCAACAGTGAGAACTGGACACAGAACCACTGATTGGTTCAAAATTGGGAAAGGCTGTATTCTGTTGCCCTGCCTATTTAACTTATAGGCAGAGCACATCATGAGAAAAGCAGGGCTAGGTGAATCAAAAGTTGGAATTAAGATTGCCGAGAGAAATATCAACAACCTAAGATATGCAGATGATAACCATTCTAGTGGCAGAAAGTGAAGAGGAACTAAAGAGCCTCTTGATGCGGGTGAATGAGAGTGCAAAAGTTGGCTTGAAACTCAATATTAAGAAAACCAAGATCATGGCATCCGGTCCTCTCAATTCCTGGCAAATAGATGGAAAAGAAATGGAAGTAGTGACAGATTTTATCTTCCTGGGCTCCAAGATGACAGATGGGGACTGCAGCCAAGAAATTAAAAGACCCTTGCTCCTGGGGAGGAAAGCTATGGCTAATCTAGACAGCATACTAAAAAGCAGAGACATCACCTTGCCAACAAAAGTACATATAGTCAAGACCATGGTTTTCCCAGTTGCAATGTATGGCTGTGAAAGTTGGACCATAAGAAAGGCTGAGTGCCAAAGAATTGAGGCCTTTGAACTATGGTGCTGGAGAAGACTCCTGCGAGTCACCTGGACTGCAAGGCAATCAAACGGGTCAGTCATAGAGGAGATCAACCCTAACTGCTCTTTAGAAGGCCAGATACTGAAATTGAAACTCAAATACTTTGGCCACCTAATGAGAAGGAAGGACTCACTGGAGAAGAGCCTAATGCTGGGAAAGATTTACGGCAATAGAAGAAGGGGACAACAGAGAATGAGGTGGCTGGATGGAGTCACTGAAGCAGTAGGCGTGAGCTTAAATGGACTCCAAAAGATGGTAGAGGACAGGAAGGTCTGGAGGAATGTTGTCCATGGGGTTGCGATGGGTCAGACATGACTTCTCAACTAACAACAATGCCCACAGAAAAGCCTTGGGTTGAGCTCAGGTAGCAGCTAGCAGCAGGAGCAGGGGACCACGCTGTGGACATCTACCTGCAAACTGACCACCATATTGTATCCAGCTTTTCTTCCCAGATCCAGCACAAATGGAGACGGGGCACGCTGACATCAAGTGAGGTTACAGGGTGGGCACGAGGCACGACAGTACTCAAGGCTCCCATGCATTTTGGAAATCAACCCCAGGGGCTAGAACGTTTCTGGGGTCCCCAGTGGTAATGGGGGAGCCGGGAAGTCGCCGGAGCCTAAGGCTTGTTTTCTAGGGTCCCAAACAGGAAGCACTCCACAAGAAACAGAACCTTCCTCCAGGGCGGGGATAAAACGGTGCTTTGCAACCGTTTGTATTGATTTCATGGGGCAAGAATAGATTTCTCCCACCACGGATCTCCAGGAGACGCCAGCCAATGCAGGGAAAGCATCCCGAGACAACACAGCGCAACCTTCAGGCCTTGAAGCGGCTGCGCAGAGCCGTCCTCGCAGCCCCGAGGACGCGCTAGGACGGCGACCCCTTCGCTTAGGCACCACCTTTCGGACAGGGGGCGGGGCTCGGGGGGAAAATTACTGTGTGACGGTAGTTCCGGTGTTCTTAAGGATGCAGCAGGAGCCGGCACCGCTGATTTGGGTGCTCGCAAGATAGCGGGAGAAGCCGGGCTGGGCCTCGCAGCCACGTCTTAGCACTCCTGCGCAAGTCCAGGGGCGCGCGGCGGATGTTGGGACGCGGCGGGGATTGGGCTGCGCCTCTTTTCTCTCTTTCTGCCGTGGGGCTATCCTGCAAGCGGTTGCGCGCGACCTGTCACTCTTTGCATCGCCACGCTATGAGCCACCAACCGTCGGGACCCGGGGGCTGAGAGGCGCGAAGAGCCGGTATCCACGTTCCCTGTACTTCGCCTTTGTACCAGGAGGAGTCTTTTTCCTTGCATCACTCGACCCCGAAGACCGTCGAGCGCTCCGCCTGCTGGGCTGGCTGAGTGGGGCAGTTCGGCGCGACGTGAGCGGCTCGGGCTTACCCCAATGCGGGGTACGTCGCCTATACGACCCCTCGTCACCCGCTAACATCCCCATGGAGTCCCCTCCCAACCGCGGGGCTCACTTGCTGGGCGGGGCGGGCAGCTTCCTGCCCGGCGGCGGACGCGACCCCGGCTTCGACAGCTTGCCTAGGCCTGACCTGGTGGGCACTCACTACGGCGGCGGTCCGACTCAGGCCCCCTCCCCTCCGCAGCCGCTGTGTGGCTTCGGCACGGCGTGGTCAGTGCAGGCAGACTCTCCCCCGCCGACCGCCACCCTGGCCCCACCGTCCAGTCCGGAGGCCTCGAACGGCGGCGGCTTTTACGCACGAGGCAGCGGCCTCTCGCCCTCGTTGGGCCCCGCATTCCTGCAGAGCTGCTCGGCGACCGCCCCCACACTAACCCCCGCCGCCGGACCCTTCGGCGGGCCCTTCTCACCTGTCCCGTCGCTGCCTCTCCCGCCGCCACCTCAGTCCAGCCGACGTTCCCTGGCTAGTCCTCAGCAGTACCAGGCGGCGGTGGCAGCTGCAGCTTTCCTGCAGCAGAGAAATTCCTAAAACCATCACCAGGTAGGTCCGGAGCAGCGATGCCCTCTTGTGGGGCCCATCGAAGGCGTAGATTCGGTGCTGGGAAGAGAAGGGGTCCCTCGCGCAGTGGCAGCTCCCGAGTCCATATTCTATTCCCCCCCCCCTTGAGACATACAGGGTGTAACGGTAAGCGGACAGCTTTCCTCCCGCAAAGGGGCGAAGCCCAGCTTTCGCCCTGCAGGTTGAGTGAAAAGGGAGAGATAGATGCTCCTTGCAGCTCCAGTTCTGGGGCGAGCGCACTACCAAGAGGGTGCAGTCCGGGTGATTTCTTTGTTTTACAGGCTGAAATGCCCCAATTCGCTGCTGAACCAGGTGCTTTGGTAGATGTGATGCCTTGCCCTGCTTGCCCCTTTCAATCGGGTTTTTCTAAATTAGTAGTAGCCTCTGCACGGAGGACCAGAAATTCTAAATAATCCTTACAATTGCAATATGGTAATTCTCAGTATTTTAAATATTTGAGATACATTAGTCAGTAAAAAGAAGGAGCCCCTCCCCCCTTCAGTGGCAATTTGGGTGTGGACAGTCCTTAAGAGGTTTGCTGCAGTTTCTGGATCATTTTATTGCTGTAGTTATACTGGAATAGAATTAGCTGGCACCACCTCAGGGGAGCTTAAGAAAAGGTAATATATAAATAAATAAATGTTATTCAGGATTTCTTTTCATTGATTGTGGTAATTAGGTAATTGGTAACTTTCTGGCATGGCTGCATGGTGTGAAAACACACAAACTGTGTTAATATCACAGATGGCTTTCAATTTAGTATTTCATGCTGAAAGAGTTTTCTTTGAAGTTTATTTAACAATTTCAATATTGTTAAAATATTTTGCTGGTTTATGTTCATACCCAGGTGTTAATTGATGGTAGGAGCATCAATTGAAAACATATTGAGCATCTGATTTGCTGTTTACTTACGCCTGCTGACTAAAATATTTTTGTTATATTTTGTTCCTTTAATATAAATGGAATTCTAAAATCTATCCATTACTATCTACTTATCTATCCATTTATATATTATTATGTGGACTGTGTATATATAATAGTGCATTCAGAAAGTATTCTGACCACTTTCATTTTTCTCAATTTTGTTATGCTGCAGCCTCATTATACAGTTGTTGAAATTCATTTTTTTCTCATTAATCTACACTCAGTACCCCATAATGATAAACAGAAGTTATCTAACAGAAGTTTAGAAATGTCTGTAAATTTATTAAAAAAGAAAAAACTGAAATATTACATTGGCGTAAGTATTCAGAACCCTTACTGGAGTCTTTTTGGATATGACATGACAAGCTTTGCACACCTGGATTGGGGGATTTTCTGCCATTCTTCCTTGCAAATACTCTCAAACTCAGTTGGATGGCAATTGTCGATGGATTGCCAGTTTCTGGCCTCTCCAGAGATGTTCAATAGGGTTTAAGTCAGGGCTGTGGCTGGGTCAGTCTAGGACAGGGGTAGTCAACCTTTTTATACCTACCGCCCACTTTTGTATCTCTGTTAGTAGTAAAATTTTCTAACCGCCCATCAATTCCGCAGTAATGGTGATTTATAAAGTAGGGAAGTAACTTTATTTTATAAAATTTATAAAGCAGAGTTATAGCAAGTTAAAGCATATAATAATAATTACTTACCAAACACGACGAGTTGTGTTTCTACCAAACAGTGTTATACTTTGGTTTCATCTGACCATATGACATTCTCCCAGTCCTCTTCTGGATCATCCAAATGCTCTCTAGCAAACTTCAGATGGGCCCGGACATGTACTGGCTTAAGCAGGGGGACACTTCTGGCACTGCAGGATCTGAGTCCCTGGCAGTGTAGTGTGTTACTGATGGTTGCCTTTGTTACGTTGGTCCCAGCTCTCTGCAGGTCATTCACTAGGTCCCCCTGTGTGGTTCTGGGATTTTTGCTCACCGTTCTTGTGATCATGTTGACCCCATGGGATGAGATCTTGCATGGAGCCCCAGATTGAGGGAGATTATCAGTGGTCTTGTATGTCTTCCATTTTCTAATTATTGCTCCCACAGTTGATTTCTTCACACCAAGCTGCTTGCCTATTGCAGATTCAGTCTTCCCAGCCTGGTGCAGGTCTACAATTTTGTTTCTGGTGTCCTTTGACAGCTCTTTGGTCTTCACCATAGTGGAGTTTGGAGTGTGACTGAGGTTGATAACACGTTCAAACAGGTGCCATTAATATAGGTAATGAATGGAGGACAGAGGAGCCTCTTAAAGAAGAAGTTACAGGTCTGTGAGAGCCAGAAATCTTGCTTGTTTGTAGATGACCAAATAGTTATTTTCCACCATAATTTGCAAATAAATTCTTTCCAAATCAGACAATGTGATTGTCTGGATTTGTTTTCTCGTTTTGTCTCTCATAGTCGAGGTCTACCTATGATGACAATTACAGGCCTCTCTCATCTTTTTAAGTGGGAGAACTTGCACAATTGGTAGCTGACTAAATATTTTTTGCCCCACTGTAGAAACAGGAAGTCTGATGAAATTACATTTAATTAATTAAATTATTAATGAGATCCCTGAGGCTGATGCTGCGAAACTAAATACTGGATATCTGGCTCAATTTTTGTAAGGAACAAACGAAGGTCTCCTCTTTCGGAAATATTCAGGCGGTTTCTTTCTTTGGTCATAATATGATTAACAGCACTAAAGCCTGATTCCACAAGATATGAGGTAGGGAAAGGTATCAATAAACTGAATATCATTTTCCACATATTTGGATATAAGGCAGGCATTTTTTTACTTTGCCATAGGTTTTCATATCCACCACTATCAAATTTATGTTTACTTTCTTCATCATATCTAATTTCTAAAAGTTCTTCTTGGCAAGTTATATCAGCCTCTTCAATATTTGCGGTAAAAGGATTTTTCATCCAGTCATACACCTTCAATTTCAAAATATCTTCAAATCGTTTTTACATGTCCAATTTAAGTTTGTTGAGGTGGCTACTAAATCTGTCAATATCCTCTGGAGTTACATCATCTTTTATAGATGATAATTCAGGAAACTGATGAAATTCTCTCTTCAATAGATTATAACGAAGTAGTTCAAGTTTGTCAATAAATAATGACACAATACTTTGGCAACCTATAAGAGTCTTATTAGCTCCCTGAAGCTGCAAATTGACATCATGAAATCTCTTGAAAATATCTGCCAAATAAAAGGCATCATTATTTACTGTTTTTAACTGTTGACACAGATTGGTCTCATTATTACTTTCAAAAAATTGTATGACACTATCATATAATGCTACAAAACGAGCCAAAGATGTACCCTTTGACAGCCACCGAACTTCTGTGTGCAAAAGTAACGTAATAAAATCTTCATTATTGTCCTGGCAAAGCTGTCAAAACATTCTATCATTTTTTGGTTTGGATTTGATCTTGTTTATGGCTTGAATTATTATATTTAATGATGAATGGAGAGTTGTACTTAGATGTTTTCCTACAAGATGTTGTCTATGCACCACACAATGAATACATAAAACATTTGGCACTTCTTCCTTCAAATAAGCAACAAATCCACGATAGCAACCTACCATTGATGTGCTCCATCAGTAGCACATGCAACAATATTATTCAAAGGAATATTATTTTTGTAAAGTATGATTTCACAGTATTAAATATAGATAATCCTCTTGTATCTGTAATGAGATTTATTGCGAATAGCATTTCTTCTTGTAATGTATTGTTTTCATCAAAATAACGTACATATGCCATCAATAAAGCATTATTATCTGCAGTGGTAGACTCGTCCAATTGCATAGAAAATGAAGTGTTTTGGAGAATACTTATCAGTTTTTTTTCAACATTAACTGCCATTTCATCAATTCATCGCTTTACTGTACTATCGCTTAGGGGCAACATTTTTAAATTTTCAGGTATATCCTGATGCATTACTGTTGAAATAAATTCTTTTATAGAGGGTATTATTACTGTTTCTCCAATATTATAGCTTTCACCACTTTTTGCAATTAATTGTGAAATGCGATAAGCGCAAATTAATCCATCTTCGTTCGCTGCATGTTGTTTCTTAAATGATGCAACGATTGTTGAATGATTTTGAATTTTTTTATATATTTCCTGAAAATATTCAATGGGCTTGTCCTTATCATTTGGATGCTTTGTAGAAAGATGTTCTCGCAATCGACTTGGCTTCATTGCCTCATTGGATAATGTTTTATGACACATTGGGTGTTGTTTATTTACAACAGATTCTATGAAACCCATCTTCAGATACTCTGGCAAATAGCCACGAGCGTATTTCTTTTTTTGAGACATGGCCTCTACCTTGGTCTTGAGGGAATGCCCAGTGGAGTCTGGTTTGCCCCCGATCTGTGCCTGTCACAGCAGGATGAAGAGAGAGCCTGGTTCTTGCCAGAGATGAAACCTCTATGACTGAGGGCTCTGTGCGGCTCTCAAAATGGCGGCCGTGCCAAAATTAGCGGCCGCTTGTATTTGGGCTGGGCCTTCCCAGCCTTGAGGGGCCCTAAGGGGAAGCTTGTTGTTTGTTGTGCCTTTAATTTCCACCCCCCGGAGCCGAAAATGAGGCACTTGCAGTTTTATCTCATTGCGCAGCCTCTGCTGCGATCCGGATTGTCAAGAAAGTCGATGGGAGCCTCGCGATGACGGCGCGCTTTGGCGAGGCTCTCTGGTCTCCGAGAGCTCCGTGGGTGGTTGCACAGCTGAGGCTAACACCCCGCGTCTGCTGGAAAGCTCTGTGAACCGATCGGAGGGCTCGATGGATCCGAAAATTTAAACGGCTCGATTGAACCCCTACCGCCCACCAAAAAAGCTGGAACGCCCACTAGTGGGCGGTAGGGACCAGGTTGACTACCACTGGTCTAGGACATTCATAGAGATAGAATAGAATGGAATGGAACTGGAAGGGACTTTGGAGAACCTATACTATTTCAGACAAGTGACTGTCTAGTCTCCTCTTAAAAACCTCCAGTGATGGAGTGCCCACG